CCCCAAAAGTTTCAATTAGAATAACCCACACAGATTCAAAATACATACAATTCCTTAATTCACTAAGAATGAAAATACGGAACATATCGGATGAAAAGGAAACAGTCGGTATAATAGGTCAACATTTCTACACCTTCTTCCAAGACAACAAGCAAATAATAAATAACCTACCACCATATGGGGAAACAAAAACACAAAACATGGATAAGGGACTCAATATTTCAGAACTTTCGGAATTCATTAAACATATATCTTTATCTTATCAATTATATTCTATCATCTCAAGACCGAAACTGATCAAAAGCGTCAATAATTTAAAATACAAATGAGGCACATATCGCGTTGCTGCAAGAAACGTGATTCAATAAACCAAAGAAATACGAATTAAGAAATTATTTTATAATATAAAAGCATAGGAATGATAACTATGGCGGTGCATGCGTTATCATTCATAACTCAATAGAATATAAAAAAATCTGGTGCGCGCAACACACAACTTTCATTTACCGCTCCGCTTTGAATAGAAATTAGTTGCTGGCAATATTGGGCTAGTATAAAATTTATGAAGTGCATTTTTAATGGAGCTACAGCTTAAATCTTACACTTAACAAATCATTAATACCATTAAAATAACAAAAAACCTATTACTTATATCAACGGTAGGCAATAAAAACATCATTACTCCATCTGTTTTTGTAAACCACATAACTCCAGTCTCTGAGCTATATACATATATGCCTAGTAAATCTAGTATACACATTTGAAACTATATATATATATATATATATATATATATATATATATATATATATATATATATATATATATATATATATATATATATATATATATTCAACCTATAAATGATTATGGATTGTACGCCTATTAGTTATGAAAATGTTATTTCCCATGGTTAAAGTTTACTAAAATGAAATTAGTAGATGTTCATTGCCCGCCATAGATAAGTCAAAAGTTGTCACACTAATCTTAAGTTGATAATGTTGGAATATTACAAAGGAAAAATTATCAAATTATTGTTTTACCCAAAAAAATAAAGTAATCATTTGTTTTAATTAATCGTATTCCGCGATTTATCTTATTTCTGATTATATTGGGCTTCTTATCCGAGACAATGTAAACGTTATTGCTTCTCAAATAAAAGATTACGTTGCCATTCTTAATGTTTTTTTAATATACAGAATATAGTTGTGTTAGTGTTATTGCAAACGTACAGTTTGTTAGTTGTAGTCAGTATGATACGTATGACTTCTTATCCGAGAGTAGTCCCATGCAGGTAGGAGACATGAGTTATAGTAAGTGGCAAAACAGTGGTACACCGCAGGGCTCATGCTACTCTTCCTTCTGTGGAACATTATTATGGATGACATTTTCAAGGCATTGATATTTCCTTTAAATACGTAAATTCACACACTGAAATTTTGGGGAACGAGCTAGCGGACGAAACGACTAAGGCTGCAGTAAGGGACAACGCACTCCCGATAATACTCAACAAGGCATCATTCAGAGCGGTTAAATATTTCCAGAGAACAGCAACAAGACAAGTGTGAGACCAAATCTGGGCGATATCAACAAAAGGTAGCCACACTTACGATCAGGGGTGCCCAGAAGGGGATTTCATGGCGCAAGTTACGCCATCAAAACTTTTTGAGGGGGGCACATTTTGACGGGGTTTTGGATTTTGGAGGGGGACCCATTTCGTCCGGGTTATGAATTTTCTAATTGGAAAATTTCAAATTAAAAGACCAATGGAAGCATAGAAAAGACTGCAGGATGTATATAATCTACGAATTTTCCTATTATACTTTTGTTTGCACTGTTTTTAAGAAGAGGATATCAATATCTTGGGAGCTTCATGCGTCATCGAGCTTGGGAGGGGGGGATGGGCACTCCTGCTTACGACTACATTAAAAATTTAGGAGGAAGAGCCAAACTTAAAAAATTGTCCTATAACTATCAGAATTTCTGACAGTACACGGAGCAGCCAAAAGCTACTTATTCAAATTTAAGTTAACTGAACGGTTTAAGTTAAAAGGTTCACCTGCTTTATAAGATTTTAATTTTCCAATAGCTACTTTAACTACCCCTTTACTCGGTAAAGAGGAAGTTGAAGTTTTTTTTTTTTTAATTTAAAAAATAAGCAATAAATAATACTGTGTGAACAACTAAAAAAAAAATAATAATAAAATAAAATAAAATTCTTTCAAGAATAGTTAATGTAGTTGTGATGTGAGAAACGAAAACAAAAAGATATATATATTATATATGTAGAAAGAAAGATCAAAACCTGGAGAAAAGAAAAAATATTGTTGGTGTTAAAAACAAACAATAGGCTAACTTAATAAAAAACTGACTTAATACAAATTCTAAAATATACAGTAATTTAAAAAATAATCTGTAAATTACAGATGTTGTAATGTGAGCAAATAGAACAAAAAATTATGTATCGTATATATATATATATATAGAGAGAGAGAGAGAGAAAGCAAAAACAAAACCTGGAGAAATGAAAAAATAACAAAAGTCAGTAAAGAAGAAGCATTGATTTTTTATGTTAACACTTAAATGGTGGGCACTACTATTAAAATTAAATTCATGAATAGAAATTTCACATTGACGTCCGCATATCCTCTATTTGGGAAGTAAGGAGGCACTAAGGGATCCAGGATTTAATTTTGAGGAGGGCTTCAGCCCGAAAGATTTTTTTTTTTTGTATGTATATATTACTTCGGAAGAAAGAAAGAACCTAAATACCTATATGAAATGACATTTAAGTCATTCCTTAAGTTCTATTAAATGTAATTAGATGAACAATAATACTTTCAGAGTTAAATAATTACTTTTCTCATAAAACATGGTTATATTTTACCATTTTTTGGGTGGGAGAGAGAGCTTCAGCCCAAAAGCTCCCCCTCCCCACCCCTCCCGTAAATCCGCCTGTGTAAGGAGGTATTGGAAAAGGAGGTAATTGAATAATGACAGGAAAGAGGCATATGTCCCCCATTTTGTATTTTAATTTTATGTAGTTATGATGTATTTTAAAATTGTTTACTTTCTCAATAATAGTTGAAGCTATAGTTTTGTCCAAGCTAATGAAATTCGGCATGATAATGAGATTCCACATAAATTAGCTTTAAAATGTAATAAATGTGATGATACATGGGTTGATGATATTCAGACATAAGAACACAGTTTTAGTTTAGTTTTCACTTTGTTTATTGATAAAAAAAAATAAAGGAAAGAAAAACAAAAAACTTATTCAATTAATTTACAAGTATAATATGGTATAAATTTATATAAACAGTTTGCAGTATATATATGTGTGTATGTGAGTGTATGTATATATTTACACACCCATATACATACATAATACATAAACACACACACACATATAACACCCTTATAAAATTATATATGTACATATTTAGTTATATTTAAATACAATAATTATTGTTGATCCTAATACAGTTCCGGCAATGAAATTAACAGAATAAACATAAGTCAGTTATTATCAAACAATAACTTATCACAGAAAAAATATTTTCACCAAAGTTAATAAAATCTATTATAATTGAAATTTTCAAGAACTAATCATTAAAAATACAACTAGATAAGAGAATATTTATAATATTAAGCGAGGCAAATAGGAGTTTACAGCTTGAAAAATAATTGTATTAAGATCAACAGTTTTTTTTTATATTTATACCCTTTTTCATTCAATATTCTTATTTACAAATTAACACATTATATTTATAAATATATTATAACAATATTCTCCAAAAATATCAATACTTTCCAACATTCACAAAACATGTCATTTATAAAACGACATACAATACTAATACTTATAAATATTATCAAAGAAGTTACTATGAATGAGTGGTTTAAATCTTTATATACATGCATTTACATAGAAATACAAGCATATATATATATATATATATGGGTGCATATTTAAATTTTATTGGAAATGCACATTATTCATAAATCACAGACATAAGTAACAAAAATATTTTAAATAACAGATGAATTAAATAATGATTTTATTGAATAATGATGCAAAAAAAGGAATGTGAAAATTGAAAAAATTAAACTAAATAAAACAACATTCAGAACATCATAAAATATATTTACAATTCAACAGAAATATCTAGCATAAACTATATATTTACAAGTCTTAATTTTTATTATATATACAAAACTTCATTTATAGCCAAAAACTTATTTTAATGATACACAACCTACATTATACTATAGCTGTTATAGGGAATTGTTAAATGTAAATTAAATGGTAAATGTAATGTTGATTACGTTAATTAACGAAGAAAATTACAAAATTCAATCTGATAAATTTCCCATCACATGAAATATTTTATGTTATCAATGACTAATAACTTCAAATCAACATTCCATTACACAGAAGAAATGATATATAAATAAATTACTTACATCCATTTTATTCACTGTTTCATGATATATAAAATTTTAAAAGCTCTACAACAATAACAATCTTTACAACTCTTAACAAAATATAAACATTTTTTTTGTTTGGTTTTAAATACATTTTGTATTATTTACATTTTACACATAATTATATAAATTCTTTTTCAGATTTAACAGCATAAATAAGGCCTCTTCATTTTAAAAATAAAAATGAAATATTACATATAATTTGTTTCTGTGGAAATTGATATGAACTAAGTATAATTATACGTAAGAGGACTTGTTCATAATATACATAGCCATTGTAAAGGTTAAATTAGAAAATATTAATCATAAATAATTAATTTTTATAACTTTTTCATTATTATTCCTTTTTCCTCAAACTCTCATCCATTTAAGAGGAGTAGACTGTCTTTTATTTTAAACAATTAAAATAAATTAAATAAGATTGATTATAATCAATTACTTTTCTATAGCAATTTAAATATCAGAAAACAGATTAAATCTCAATAAATTGATTATTTTTCATTAAATTCCTTCCTTTGCAAATCTATTATGAATATTGTAACTTTAATTTGTTTTCAAATAAAACTAACAATAAATTAATCAGTTCATTAAGATAAATAAGAACTATAAATGAGATCACATATCATTGTGATTATTGAATAGAAAACACATTACTCCTAATGTCTTCAATTATGAATTTATGTAAACAGTAAAATCTCACAATAACATTTTTGATAAGAAGAGCTAAAATAATTGTAGCTATTCAGCAAAATTCACTTCTCTTTCATCAAATGAAGAAACTTCTAAATGTGTTTTTGTCAATTAAAACATTTAGGTACTCTGCAATTGGGCTCTTTAGTAGAAAAGTTTGATTTGAAAGAATTTACAGATAATATATGTACTTTTAGTAATAAAGCTTAATTATATAGAATCAAGCAGACCATTTTTTCTGAATACACAAAGCATATGATTAGACAAGTTTTTTACATAAAAGCCAATTTTATATTTATTTCATGATTTATTAATATTGCAGGGACCGCAGTAACAATAAACACTTTAGTAAACCAAAATAAGTTTACTAGCTGTTAATGAATTTTAACTGGTAGTTGAACCATCATGAGGCAGAAAAAAAAAACTTGCTATGAAGTCAGAATCAAAAAAATTATACCCACGTTAACAGCTTATTGAATTTCAAAAATTCTTTTAGTTGAAAGAATCTAATAAATTAAAAAAGGTTTGATTTATAGTTGGAGTACTACTTGATAAATTAGTTCTAAATGTAAGTTTTCTTCACTTTTTGCAAAGTTTTATTGTTTTCTGAAGATGTATTTGCATTCTTGTCATTGGCATTTTTTGGTGGTACGTTAACAAGCAGATTAATAGATTTATTGTTTGCACATGGTGAGAGATATGATGCACCTTCTCCATTTAGTGGGCTGAAAAAAAAAAAAAAGCTTGATAATAATGGATAGGTTTATAATAATAATAATGCTTTATTTATTCTGGGATGAGTCCCTTTAGAATAATACAGAGAGACAAAAATGTGGGCTAAGGAGCCTCAAAGATACATAAACAAGAATATAAATAGTCAACAAATAAATAAATAAAAAAAATAATAAAAGAAATTTAAAAAGTTACTTTCTAATTTAAATCAGTTAATAATAAAAAATAAAAAATTGAAAATAAACATGAAGTAAAAATAATAAAGAACGATCTAATAATTTATATACATATTTACAATAGTAACTATTTACAATTTTATAAGGACTGGATGGATAAGAAATGATTAAACAGTCGGGATTTAAAGGTAGAAAGAGTTTTGGATTGACGGATATGGGGAGGAATGGAGTTCCATAGGGAAGAGGATCGAATAATAAAAGATTTATTGAAACCAGCGGTTCAGTGGACCATTATATATAAATCAGAAGAACGGGAATGGGTACTGCGGGAGTGGACAGAGGATTTAAATTGAAGGAGCTCGGAGATGTATGAAGGACGGCGGGAGTGAATTACTTGGAAGAGGAAGGATGCCAGGAAATACTTACGGCGGTAGCAAGGATAAAGCCATTTCAACTCTTCATAGAAACAGGAAACAGAGATGTCTCTTGGGATCCCGGAGATGAATCGTGCAAAGCAATTCATCAAACGTTTTAGTTTCGCCTCGAGATCCCCAGAGACGCCTCCATATACCGTGCAGCAATAGTCGAAGTGGGGAAATATTAAGGAGGTGACCAGGAGTCAACGGATTTCAAAAGGAAAAAGCTGTCGCAGGCTATTTAAGTGTTTTAGGGTGGAAAAGGTACATCGGGAGATATTGGACACATGGTTTTTCCAGAAAAGGGTTTGATCAAAGATTATTCCAATGTTTTTGATGGTGGGATAAAATTTAATGGGATTATGATGTAGGAACAGGGTTGGAAAGTTAGGAACAGTTTTGAGGAGGTGATTGGAGCCTATTAGGATTGCCTTGGTCTTTTCCGCATTCAACTTCAGCTTGTTAGCTCCTGCCCAGTCATATATTCTATTTAAATCTTCTTGAAGTTTTTTTGTGACAGCTAATAGGTCAGAAGGGGGGAATGCAGGTATATTTGGAAATGCCAGCATAGATGTGGTATTGGGAGTGTTGTATCAGGAGGGGAAGGTCATTAATGTAAATAGCAAACAGAGTAGGAGATAAGGAGGAACCCTGAGGGACACCACAGGAGAGGGGAAGTGTCTTTGAAGGAGCAACCTCCATCTGGGACAACTACATATTGGGATCGATCGGAAAGGAAGGATTTGAACCAATGCAGGACACTGTTTGATAGAGAAAGATTTTGCAATTTGGTAAGAAGGGTGTTATGGTCAACTGTGTCAAACGCTTTGGAAAAATCTAGAAGGATGAGGATAGTAAGGTTTTAGTGTTCAATGGAGTTTTGGAGGTTATGGATTATTTTAAGGAGGGCAGATTGCATTGAATAGCCCGGCCGAAAGCCAGATTGGAATGGATTGATGAGGGAACGTTCTTCTAGGAAGTTGGAAAGTTGGTTTTGGACAATTAGTTCCAGTGGTTTTGAGAGGTGGGAAAGTAGAGAGATAAGACGGAAGTCGTTCAGTGAGGAAAGGTTAGAAGTTTTATTCAAAGGTCGGACTAGTGCAGTTTTCCAGGAAGAGGGGAATATGGAGTTTTGCAATGAAAAGTTTTAGATATGATAAAGTACTGGAATAAGGGTAGGAAGGCTGGATTTTATAAGTTTTACTGGAATATTGTCAGATCCATAATCATTGGTGTGGGATTTTAGGATAGTGGAAAGTACTTTGTCGTAGGACACATGTGAAAAAAAGAAGTTTCCAGGATTGAAATTGTGGTGTTCAATATCATGAGTAGGATAAGGATTAGAAGCAAATGATAAGAAATGGTCATTAAGATCATCTGGAGTCACAGGGAGGGAAATGAGGTTATTTCAATCTGGTAGGGATAGATTATGAAGTATTTTACATTTTGATTTGAAATCGGGAGAATTGGAAAGGGCATTATGGAAGTAGTTGGATTTAGAAAGTCGGATTGTGGATTGGGTTGCATTGCAAAGTTGTTTGAAAGACGCATAATCAACAGGTAAACGGGTTTGATGGTATTTGTGCCTTGCTGCATCCCTTCTTTATATCATTCCCTTTATTTCATGAGTCAGCCAAGGTTTATAGTGTATAATTTTTTTTAAATTCAACAAATACATTGGATTTTTATTTATTCAGGTATAATGTTTTGAGGAATATATGTATATATATATATTATATATATATAATATATATATATATATATATATATATATATATATATATATATAAAATATCATAGTATAATATATATATACTAGGAGGGTACCCCCTGTCCACCTTACGGTGGATAACCTCCATTTTCAAATTAAACAAATGTTCGTTTAATGACATATATGTTGAGCTCCTGTAACCTCATACTCTCCTAAATCAAAATACAGATTTTAGACCCAAAATTTGTATAGGAAATGAATAATCGCCATAGGAGAGCCTAGAATAATGTCCTGAAAAGTCAAGCTCCTGTAAGTTCCTACTCTCCTAATACTAAATAGAGATTTTCACCCTGGTGTCTTTGTTATGGTCCGTCTAACTTTGTATATGTAAACAAAAGTCAGTGACTAAAAACATTTTTATATATTAGAGAGATCTTTTTATATATATGTGTGTGTTTAGATTCACAGCTGTGAAGACATTTCATCTGTATTCATATTTCTTTTTGTGAATATAAATATATTCATATTTATAATCAAAAGTCCCATAAATATAAATGGTATTCGTATTTATATTTTTGAATATAAATATGCCCATCTCTGGTTTAGATTTATTTATATATTACTTATATTGCGTTGGCCTAGACTCGCTAGCTGGTTGTTGTGCCAGTATGTATCTATATTAGTTATACACACATATCACTATTTTGTCATTCTAAAATAATTATGGAACTATTCAACCTAATTGCACTTGACCTATTTTCACTAAAAACTTGATTTGGTAAAATGGCATATGCTTTTATTCATCTTGTAACCAGCTCTCTTAATTAAGAAGTCACATGTGTTGATTGATGATTTTACCATCATGTGCATATGCTATTACAGGTAAATAGTAATAAGTAATAAGTAGAGAGAAATATTTAAAGGGGTTGATAGCAGACCTCAATAGCTACATAAAAGTTCATAAGATTTTCTACAGAAAAGTAGGGAATTAAGATATTGTCCTTTCTTAATAAAGTCACATTTTTGTTGAATAAAATGCGATAACTAAAAAAAATACTTAATTCAAGTACTTAACGATTGCATCACAGTAAACTAGACGAAATTTACATTTCTATATTTTTCTTCCAAGTAGTTACTGTCATTAAATAAAAAAATGAACATACAAAAAAAATAATAAAAAAATGCCCTAAAATAAAATATTGGATTTGATACTGTCTAAACTGATAATGAAAGCTTGTGATGAAAAATAAAATACAAAAAAAAAATTAGTTCTTAAAATAATTGTTAGTGTTTTTTTATTAAATCAAAGAGGTTTTTTTTTTTTTTTTTTTTATTTATTCATGATATTTACAACTGTATTAAAAAATTAAATACATTAAGTAAATTTGATAACAGAAAATAATAACATGAAATGACTTGTTGAGAAACTACCCACTGGTAGCACTCTAAAAACAAAATGTATTTACAATAAGAGATCTCGAGGCCATCTTCTTTTCAGACGCCTCGGAGGGTTTCAGGAATAGAAGAGGAAGCAAGGTTAGAGATGAGAGGATTCGGATGGTTCTGAAGTTTATTATGGAAGGATCAGTATCTGGATTGGGCCAAATCGGAAACATAAGGAACATTAAGGTCATTATGGATTATTTTATTGGTGACAAAGTAAGGAGCATTGAGGATTTTCCGAAGGATTTTGGATTGTAAGGATTGGATACGAGAGGAATTCGATGGCTTAGTGGAGCCCCAAAGCTCAACTCCGTAAGTCCAAATAGGTCTTATTGTAGTCATGTATATAAATATTTTGTAATTAACTGGAAGCTTAGAGCGTTTGTCTAGTAAGTGTTGGAGTAGTCGGAAACGTCGAGCGCTTTCTTGTCTTTTCAGTCTGGTATGAGGATTCCAAGTTAGACGTTTGTCCAAGTGAAGTCCAAGGTATCGGATTTGTTCAACAGGGATAAGTGGGGTATTATTAAAGGATACTGTGGGACTTGAGGTCATAGGTTTACCTCAAAGGGTAAAGGTGATTTGATGGGATTTATTAGAATTTATTTTAATCCTCCAGTTTTGACACCATTCTTCAAGGCTTGTGATGTGTGATTGAAGAGTTTGGGATGCAATGGTTGGGTCATTATTAACGGATAGGACACATGTATCATCGTCATACGTGGTAATAACAGTGTTAGGATGGGTTGGGATGTCAGCTGTATAAACTGTGTAAAGGATAGGACCAAGGATACTACCTTGAGGAACTCCGGCAGATTGAGAAAAGAGGGATGAATAGGTATTATTGTGATTTACTTTGAAATGCCTATCAGTAAGATAGGAATTGATGATAAGAAAATATGTAGGGGGAAGGAATTTACGGAGTTTGTAAAGCAATCCCGGATGCCAGACTCGATCAAACGCCTGTTCAACGTCGAGAAAAACTCCAGTGCAATACATTCCGCGCTACAATGCAGAGGAGACGACGTCTACCACACGATGACATTGCTGGATAGTGGAATGGGATGTGCGGAATCCAAATTGGTGATCAGGGATTATGTGGTTAGAATCTAGGATGGAATGCAGGCGTTTTAAGATGAGCTTCTCCAGGATTTTGCCCATGATGGGTAAAAGAGAGATAGGACATTAAGAGGATGGGTATTCTTGTGGCTTTTTGGGTTTATGTATCATTTTGATAATGGATAGTTTCCAAGGGTCGGGAAAATATGTGGATCGGAGTACAGCATTATATATATATGTAAGGAATAGAATGGCTTTCCGAGGAAGTAGTTTTAGGATCTGGGATGTAATTAGGTCGTGTCCAGGAGCTTTGCGGGAAGGTAACCTGTGAATGATATTGGATATTTCTGAAGGATGAAAGGCTTTAGGAGGAGGAGTCATTTGGAGTGGGATATCCAGTTCTGCTTCAATACATTCAAGGTGATTTGGGTTAAGAATATCGGGATGTGGATTAAAGATTTTAAAGAGGTGGTGAGCAAATATTTGGGATTTTTCTTCATCGGATTTGGACCAGGTTTGGGCTTCAGTGAGTAGTGGATGGTTGCAGTTTTTAAATTTCAGGAGCCTTTTAGTGATCGTCCATAGTGATTTATCGGTAGGTGTAAGTTTTTCAGTAAAATTTAGTAAATTTTGAATTTTGTATTTTATAATTTCTGATTTCAGTTTGTTAGTCAGTTGGGTGTAATGCGCTTTATCTGTCGGGTATCTAGTTCGATGCCACTTCGATCTTGCTCTGCGTTTTTCCTTTAATAAGATGTGAATATGCTGTGGCAAGTTAGTATTTTGTGGGTTGTTAATCTTATTGATAAAGGTGTTATTATTTATACTGTCTGTTATTGATGATGTCAGTTTTTCTATGGCACCATTAATGTTTTCTTTTGTCTTTAGCGGAATTTGAGGTCTAGTTTGTTTTCCAAATCATCACGAAATTTGTCCCAGTTTACTCGTCCAGTGATCAGTTTGGGAGGTGATGGTTTAGGAGCAAAGTCAGAATGTAGAGAAAGCAGAACTGGACTATGGTCTGAAGAAAGGTCATCCAGGGATTTGATTATAGTTTGGGAGGAGGAAATCTGGGAGGTGATAAATATATCCAGGATATCGGGACGTTTTTTGAGGGATGTTGGCCAATAAGTAGGACTCATGGGCGAGAGGATTGAATAACTATTAGAAGATGAGAGACGGGAAAGGATGTTACCACAGGAGTTGGATGTTCGACAACCTCACCGTTGGTGTTTAGCATTGTAATCTCCTCCAGCAATAAAGCGCGATCCGAGGGATTGGAACAAAGTATCAAGGAGATTAAAGGAGAGGGAATTACCAGGAGGACAGTATACAGCTGAGACAGTGAAATGGAAAGGGTGAGTTGAAAGGATAACAGAAGTTGATTGAATGGCGTCAGTTGGAGTGGAAGGAATAAGGGAATAGGGTAAAGATTTATGTATAAGGATGCAAGAATCGGCGTGGGCAGTGTTGTCTGGATGGTCAGATCTATAAGTGATGTAGTCTCGTATGTGAAAATTTGTCCGTTTTGTGAAATGTGTTTCAGTCAGTAGAGCTATATCAATGTGATTGTCATGAAGAAATATGTCAAGTTCGTCACGGTGGTTGTGTAGTCCGTTAGCATTCCATAAAAGGATAGTTAGGGGCTTTGTGCTCATCGAGGGATATTAAACGGAATTTCGGTCAGGATTCTGGTTAGTAGAGTGATAAGTGGTTTTAAAGAGGGTTAAATATAAAATTAGGTATTTAGTATTAGTTTTAATAATAAGTATTAGTTTATAATAAGTCTTAGTTTTAAGTATTCATTTTATTTCGGATTGGAATAAGCAACAGATGATTGGGAGGAAAAACAAAAGACAGTTTAGAGGGAGATGGCGGAACCACGCAAGTGTAGAGGCATGCTAAGGATTTTTGTGTGTGAAATAATTTAGTTTTATGATGTACACCAGATTTTTCTTTTCCCCTCCAAGAACCTGTGATTAAATATTTTGGAAAAAAATTTGTATTATTTCTTGGTAACAAAAACTAACTTAAATACTTATCTTATCTTATCATAATCATGTGTATTATAATTCAAAAATGATTTCAATAAAGTAAGGTGTTTTACAAATTTCCTACCTGTTATGCTGATGATGTAAAGGCATATTTGTATACGCATTATCTGGTCTGAAATGTCTAGAGCATAAATAACCAGCTACGAATCCAACAACTAAAGTGGCTAATACAGCTGTAGTAACAACAAGACCTAATGTGTCAGCAGTATAAATTACAATCTTTTCTTGCGTTCCTCCACCAACTTCATCTATAAAGAAAAAACAAAAATTAAGATAACTTTACAAGTTAGAAATTATTATATTATGATTAGGGTTGAATTAGTAAAATACTTACTAACTGAGCAGAGGTTTGTATTACATATTGTACATTTAGGGCAAAGGCTACCATCTTTATCCATGACATCTGAAAATTAAAACATTATTTAATGAAAACCTTTCAATATAGGAGAAAGATAAAATATATTTATTTAATTCGAATCAATGAATTACAACTTTAATATTCAACGTATTGAGATTTAAATTGTATCATCTATAGCATAAGTGAAATTTTTAGGAACTCTTAAGGCCCCTTATCATAAATTGAGCATTTTACAAAAAAAAAAAAAAATTTACAATATATGTGTTATATACTTTAATATAGGTGCTATATACTAGAGTATGGAGTTCGAACCCATAAAGTTCTTTAAACTTTTCTTTGGTTCAACGGTGAGTGTGAGGACGAGCATTATATTGTTGGAATAAAATTCCTTTTCAGTTAATCAAAGCAGGATAACGCTCTGACAACTTTTCATACAATCTTTCCAGTTGTTTGCAGTAGATTTCAAAATTCATAGAGCATCCATCAAGAGCAAATTTGTGATGAATAACACCTATAAAATTTAAAAAAACGTAAAGCATGGATTTTTTTTCAAATTGCCCCCTTCCAGCAACCAGGAAAGCAGTTTGACCGCTATCTAGCTATTCCTCACAGGTATTCGGATTTCACCAGTAAACCCACTTTTCATCACAGGTGGCAATCTTCAGGTAAAATCTCATATCAGAAGGGTTTTCCAATAAATTTTCACAAATTTTTAACACCTTAGCTGACTGCTGAGGAGTAAGTTTGTAAGGGACCAGTCTGCTACTCTTTTTCATCTTCCCCATGGAGAGTAGATGGCAACTAATAGTATTTTTCGACACACCACACTCCCTTACAAGTTGGCGAGTACTTGTGGACGGATTTGACTCAACAGCTTCCTGTAGAACCTCATCAATATCCATTAATGGTCATCCGGAGCCCTTCTTCCTTTCCAACATCGCATATTCACTGCTAAACTCTTTAAACCAACACCACACAGTGCGCTGGTCTAGGACACCTTCCCCTTCATATTTAATAATTTCATGAGTTGCTTCAGCAGCTGTGAAACTTTTTTTCCAGTAATGGCTTAAAATTACAAGAATTTCGTAGGACACTGTCATGTTTCTTCTTTGAAACAAATAACTAAACTGAGGCTTTTTTTGAAGAAGTTGAATGGGATTAAACTAGCTTAAGGAATGCTCTAAAGGGATTATTTAGTATTGGTAAGTATTAAATAGGATTAAAATATTTACAGTCCTTTGAAATCTTGAATTTGATAAAACTGTAATTTTTTTTGGGGGGGGGGGCAATAAATAAAATCGATGCCCTAAATAAAAAGATTCAAGTTGTGAGTAGAGTGTTAAGTTTTTAGACGGCTTAAGTTGTAAAAAAAAATATTCCACCACAAAGACACGGACTTGAGGACAGCTAATATCCTCAAGGCCACTCATCCCTTCCCACTCATTGCCGATAAACGGTTAAGATAAAAAGAAAAGAGTATCATCTTATTCTGGAAAAATGCTTGACCGAAATGAGAAGAAATTGTAGATTTTGAAGAATTCTGTGAATGACTATGCATTTTAACCTACATATTCACTTCTAAGCATTGTGTTTGCTCACCCAACCCTCCTCTCCTCCCTTGAATCTGCCACTGTAGCCAACTAAAAAAAGATAGTAAGAGGGCCTATTGATCTGGCATAGAGATTTGCAAAAAGTCTAATAACCTTAATGGAATATAAATCATGTAGAATCCAAATAACATTGTGTTTTTGGGTAACATTTACATCGATAGCAATATTTTTAATACAATTTTTATATTTTAAAAACAAATTTACTAATTACCACCCCCGCCTCAACTTTACAGTACAATGCGAACTCTCTCTTTTAATTGTAATAATTCTCTCTCTTTTCTCGACCTTCTCATCATTAAGAATCTCAATAACACCATATCCACAGAGTGGTACACTAAACCAACTTACACAGGCAGACTTCTGAATTTCCATTCCAAACATATTTACCACCAAAAAATTAATGTCGCTAAAAATCTCATCCACAGTAATCTCCCCCTCTCTGATCCCCAACTTCATTTAACCAATATAAAACGCAAACAGATCCTGTCAAACAATAATTTTTCTCTCCATGTCATCAACAAACTTCTAAAAGACCACAATAATCGCTCTTTCTTAATCTCGACTTCCACTAATTCTCCACAACCCATTCCGGCCTCCATATACAGATGTCTACCTTATATTCCTAACCTTTCTAACAACATAAACAAAATTTTATGATCTACTAACCCTAACTTACGACTTGCATTCAAATCTCACAACACACTTTCTAAATTATACACATCCCTAAAAGATCCTGTTCCTCTCTCACACCTTTCTCATATCGTTTACCATATTCCGTGCTCTACCCATAATTGTTTTTTATCCTATATTGGTGAAACCTTCTAAAAAATCTTCTAAAAGACCGCATCAACCAACATAAATATTCTGTATCCTCTCGTAATTTTACTGCCTCCCAATTATCAGAACATTCTCTCTCCATTAATCATACATTTGATTTCGACAAAACTTCCATCCTTGCCTCCGTCCTCAACCATGACAAACGACTCATTTCTGAAACCCTCCACAACCAGTTTCAACCAAAGACAGTGAATCTAAAAACAGACAAACAAAACTTATCCTTAGCCTATTCCCAAATTCTGAATTTATTAAAACATTCATAGCAATATCCTTTTCCTTTTTGCTGACAACTTCCTTTATTTTTTGGTGTATGTATATATACATATATATATATATATATATATATATATATATATATATTATATATATATATATATATATATATATATATATATATATATATATATATATATATTGTAACGTTCCCTTTGTCACGCTTTGTCAACATAAATCAAAACAACGAGTTTCTTTTTCAATATATTATTTTATTTTAACACATAATATACATCTCAGGTTGGGTTCTGACAACTGAACACTCTCACATTTAATAACTATAATTTACCAATTAATAAATACATATAAGAAACGAGATACATACATTATACAGAAATTATACATTTAAAAACCTTTACTGTCCCAGTCTAAACTTTGTGGCTGTTTCTATTCTCTCAAGTTGCTGGCTTCTCTCTTGACAGCTTGTCACATCTTCTCTTGGCGGCTCATAATCTTCTCTCTTGGCCGCTAGTTCCTTCCCTCTTGGCGGCCCGTCGCAGTCTCTGTCACATGTGCTTGCTTCCCCCTCTTCTTCCCTGTAGTTCATGTTCTTGCCACTTTCACGCCACTATTTATATACCATGTAATGTTGACATTACAATATATATATATTAATTTCAAATATTCTCCATTATTACTTAACATTTATTATCTCTCTTTTTTTCCCTCTCCAGATTATTTCCATCCTCTTTCAATTAAACTTTCATTTAATAATATTTATGAGTAATATATCTCTCGTCCATTTTTTACGATTCTGGTACTTTAGTTCATTCTTGGTCAATTAACGGTCAGAGATGACGCAACAATACATCTCCCTCCTCCCTTGCTACCATATCTCCACTCTATTCCAGCAATCTCTTGGAACAGGTTGGTTTTCCTATCTTTCAGTCATCTCTCTTTCTTTTCTTTTTTTTCCTCCTTCCTTTCATTCCTTTTCTCTGTTTTAACTCCTTATTCTATTATACGTTGTCAGTACATTTTGATAGACTTTATAATAGCTCAATTTTCCATCTAACTATTCTATTTGCAATATCTTAATTTTACTATTTATTTTCATTTCTTATATAGCATTTCCAAGTCAATTTCAACCTTTTCCAAATCAAATTCAACCTTTTCCAAGTCAAATTAAACCTTTTCCATTTCAACTTCAACCTTTTCCAAGTCAAATTCAACCTTTTCCATTTCAAATTCAACTTTCGAATTTTTGTCAATTTTCGATTTTTTTCGAAATGAAGGCCACTTACTATATTATCGAAGGCATAGCTTTTGAAAAATACAAAAAAACATTTGATAACGCGGTTGCATATCCATTTATTTTAACATTTTAGATTTTTTCAGTGTGATATTTCTATGTCATTTCCAAGTCAAATTCAACCTTTTCCAAGTCAAATTCAACCTTTTCCAGATCAAATTAAACTTTTTCCAAGTCAAATTCAACCATTTCCATTTCAAATTAAACCTTTTCCAATTCAAATTCAACCGTTTTCATTTCAAATTAATGTTTTAATTTTTTGTAAATCTTATATTTTTTTTTAAATAATGGCCATCCCCTCCCCCCTCCAATATGAAAGTCTATTATTATGCTATCCTAAGTAGAATTTTCACTTACGGATATCGATTTATTGTACCTATTCGGATTTATTAGGGACTAGTATTATGTTGTCCTGTACCTAGTTTTGAAAATAACCCCCATTTTAAGATTAAGTGACTGCGTTTCGAATCACTTAAGTTTTTTTGACTTATTCGATATAAGGGTATATTTTTATGTTTCCCGATCAGTAAATTTTGAAAATGACATCCATTTTATGTTTACGCCACTGTGTTTTGACTTATTTAAGTTTTTAGAATTTATCCAATATAAAGGTCTACTTTTATGTTTCTGGAGCCGTAGATTTTGAAAACGACCTCCATTGTAAGATTAGGCCACCGCGTTTCGACTTATTTGAGTTTTTCGGATTTTTTTTATATGAGGGTGTATTCTTATGTTTCCGGAGCCGTAGATTTTAATAACGACCTCCATTTTAAGATTAGGCCACCGCGTTTCGATTTCTTTGAGTTTTTCGGATTTTTATCATATGAGGATGTATTCTTATGTTTCCGGAGCCGTAGATTTTGAAAACGACCTCCATTTTAAGATTAGGCCACCGCATCTCGATTTCTTTAAGTGTTTCGAATTTTTATCATAAAAGAGTGTATTCTTATGTTTCCGGAGTCGTAGATTTTGAAAATGACTTCCATTTTAAGATTACGCCACTGCGTTTCGGCTTATTCAAGTTTTTCGAATTTATCCAATTTAAAGGTCTACTTTTATGATGCCGGAGCCTTAGTTTTTAAAACGACTTACATTTTAAGATTAGGCCACTGTGTTTCGGTTTTTTTAAGTGTTTTTGATTTTTCCTTCGAATAAAAAACAAAATACGAAGGATTAATTTATTTTTCAATAAATAAATAAAAATATCTAATCAAAATAAATAAAATATGTATTGTCTCATTTTAACTTAATTTTAGTTATCTTTTTTAATGTTGTGATATCCTGTCACAAAATTATAAGATTTCGAACAATTAGCTGAAAAATCTGAATACAGAAGGTTAAATTTATTACCAGCTGCTTTTCGGCTTTTTAGTTTGTATTCTGTGGTTAATTTAACTTTAGCTTCATAATATTTATTTATTTATTCATACTCGAAAACATATTGATGAAACTTTGTATTGAAAAAATCCAAAATGAAGCCTAATTATTCGAGATGCAGCGGCTTAATCATAAAATGGAGCTTAAATATTAGATAAATTTAAATATTAAAGATTAGAAAAATTTCAATGCGTCTCGGATAACATATACGTAGATCCTTATACCGAAAAAGTAAAAAAAAAAAACTTTTATAATCCAAAACACAGTGGCATAAACTTGAAATTCGGTCATTTACAAAATGGGGGAAATCTACTGCTCCAGAAACATAAAATTAGACCTTTATACTTGTTAAATTCTAAAAACTTAAATAAGTTGAAACGCAGTGGCGTAATCATAAAATAGAGGTCATTTTCAGAATCTACGGTTCCGAAAACATAAAAGTAGACCTTTAAATTGGATAAATTCGAAAAACTTAAAAAAGTCGAAACGCAGTGGCGTAATCTTAAAATGGAGGTCATTTTCAATATCTACAGCTCCGGAAACATAAAAATACACCCTTACATCGAATAAATAAAAAAAACTTAAATAAGTCGAAACGCGGTGGCCTAATCTTAAAATGGAGGTCATTTTCAAAATCTACAGCTCCGGAAACATAAAAATACACCCTCATATGAAAAATATCCGAAAAACTCAAATAAGTCGAAACGCGGTGGCCTAATCTTAAAATGGAGGTCGTTTTCAAAATCTACGGCTCCAGAAACATAAAAGTAGACCTTTATATTGGATAAATTCTAAAAACTTAAATAAATCAAAACACAGTGGCGTAAACATAAAATGGATGTCATTTTCAAAATTTACTGATCGGGAAACATAAAAATACACCCTTATATCGAATAATTCAAAAAAACTTAAATAATTCGAAACTCAGTCACGTAATCTTAAAAAGGAGGTTATTTTCAAAAACTACTCATACGATAACAGACCCACACATCGAAAAATTAAAGATAATTAAATAAATAAAAAAAGGTTGAATTTGAAATGGAAAAGGTTTAATTTGAAATGGAAAAGGTTGAATTTGACTTGGAAAAAGTTTAATTTGATTTGGAAAAGGTTGAATTTGACTTGGAAAAGGTTGAAATTGACTTGGAAATGCTATATAACTTCATATTCCTTTTTTCTGTTTTACATTTTATTCTAAGATTACCATTTTAATGCTTATGTCACCTTTTTTTATTATGTTTACTTCATCATTCCACACTTTGTAACGGTTATTATTATTTATCTCTTAGTTCTTACTATTGTCATTATTCTACCCACTTCATTTTACTTTAATTTTTTTTCCTACATTATTTATGTTTCTCATACCTTGTTATCTGGTTCTTTTCTTAGCCCTGATGAAGGCCTGAACTTCAGGTCGAAACGTCGGCAAATGTTAAAATAAATATTATTATTTATTTTTGCCTTCTTATTTCTGACTGATCACCCCAACCATCCTTCTCTTCATTATTCACGATAGTCAACCATTAACCCACAATTAATTTACTAATTATTTTGTAATGAAATTTTTTGACCACCCTCATATTCCTCAGAATGTCATATTATACAAATAATAAATAATTCACAATTAATGATAGCAATAGAGGAAAACACTAGACAACTAGCTTAAAAAGTATCTATATAAGTCCAGTGGAATTAATCAAGTTATGTTTTAGACAGTCATTCAAAAATATTTACTGACAGAATTAATTTGAACGTCCAAGATACTTATAGGTGTAATAGACTAATAAACACCCTTTACATTTACATGACATAAACATAATATATTAAGAAATAATCTGGTTAGTTCTTTAGATAGAAAGATGTGGTATCAACTTATTTTTAAGAAACTTAGCCACTGCCTCTCAAAATATTTGAACTTCAATATTCAATATTTTTTTAAAGATTTGGTCTTTAAAATCTAAAGTTAATTTATTTATCTTAGTTTATTACCATTCATTTCTTCTTCTCCTTCTAAAGGATGAACTGCTACTGCTGATTTTAGTTGACCTGAAATTGAATTAAATATGTAAATACTTATTGTATTAGTTATGATACATTTTTCAAAACCAAAATTATTGATTTAAAAAAATATATTAGCAGAGGAAAATAAATAATTTATTCAATTACCTGGAGGTTGACATGATGGATGAGATCCTCTAATAATATTTTGCAAAAATTGTTTTGTATTACCATTGAACTGGTTATGTGCAATACAAGATTCAGTTTGAGGGTCCCATGCACAGTATGGGTCTTGAATTCCTACACATTCTCTATAAAAAAAGAAATTGAAAGTTCAAGTGAGGATAAAACAAACTAACCAAATAGAGATAGTAGATAACTTATAAACAGTTTAACTTATATTGAAGGATAAAGATAATATTTAAACAGGGATCAATCCATGTCAAATTATCCAATGATAATTGCTCATGAAATTTATTTATTTTTTGCTTTGGTACAGTGTTTAAAGAATATTAATTCCATAAAAAGTATTAGGTTTGAGTTAAATCGTTTTTTCCCAATTGGTATTCAAATATTAATTTTGAAAACTGATTGGCAGATATGATAAAGTAAGGGAATGAGGATGGCGAAACAGGACTTATAATTTTTTTTTTTTTATCTTTTTATCTTATCATATTTATATATATGTGATTATGTATTCAACAAACTATGTGACTTACTTAAAAAAAAAAGGCGAAACTTGAATTCATTACTATTCTGTTGAAAATAGGGCCTTGGTTAATATGAACTTTTTTGTATGTCTTAAGGTCTATTCTTAGGGAGTGGGGTAGCCCAGTGGTAGGGTACTGAGCTTCCAATGCTAAAGGTCCCGGGTTCGAACCCCGGCTCATGACAGAATATTTATTTATCTGTTTCATTGGCCGTGGGGCGACCATGGTTTGGGAGACTCTCCTGGGGTATACCCAGCCTCTATAAAGTGGGTATCCTTAATTAAATAATTGATTAAGGGGAAAAAAACCTGGCGGTTGATGATCTTGGTCAAATCACCTCCTTGCACAACCGTTGACCTAGAAACAGTGCTTTCCCTAAATAGTACTGAACCTCAGACCCTTCATGGGTTGTAGTGGTACAGGTATTTTTTTTTTTTTAAGGTCTATTCTTAAGGTCTTCTGTCACCTCTTTAAGTATTTCCCTCTACTTATAGGAAACCCTTCATATATAAACAGAGTGTCCTGCAAGTAGAGGGAAATATTAGTAGACATCAAGATCTACAAAAAAGTTCACATAAGCAATTGCCCAATTCCCAGCAGAAAAGTAGAAAAATTAAAACTTACAGGACAGTAGAGAGAAATTTTTATAGGAGTGATAGCAGACCTCAAGATCTACAAACAAGTTCATACAAATAATGGGCCTATTTTCAACAGAAAAGTAGGAAATCCAAGTTTTGTGTTTTTATAAGAAAGTCATGATTTTTGTTGAATAGGAAGCAATAACTAAAGAAATGTTTAATTTAAACAACTAACAATTGCTTCGCTGTAAACTAAACAAAATTTACTTCAAACAAAAATAGAGCTTGTCATTATTAAAACCATTTAAAGAAGAGTTTATAGCGGCTAAAATAAGAAAAGTTCTTTTTTTTAAAAAATCATAAATTATTTTGGAATTTCTTTTATCATTATCAAACTATACTATAGATACTTCAATTTTAGGAAAACTTCCTCATTTAATAAACTTTGAGTCCATAATAATTAAGTTGAGGTTTATTAAGCAAAATTTTGAGATTCAACTTGAAGTTGTGTTTTTTTTTTTATTTATTTATTTTTTCTATTTATTGAGTATTACAACAATTTGTCACTTGGACATTAGTTATAGTGAGGTAGGATAACATTCACACTATAAATCACACTAGTTGTGTAACAAAATGATGTGGTTTTCTATCCAGTTATCTAAGAGTACCCTTGTTTTCAGCAAAAATGACTACAATTAATTGTTGCAAAGCCTAACCACTTTCCTAAAAAAATTAGAGTGGATAGGTACAAAGTGCTCCTTGGCCATTACACCAATGGCCTTCATCGAAAGATTTTGTTTAGCGATGAGAAAATTTTTACAATTGAAGAAAAATTTAATCGCCAAAATGATCGTGTGTACGCACACAGCTCTAAAGAAGCCCAGGAAGTCATTGGAAGAGTGGAAAGAGGTCATCACCCTTCTTCAGTGATGGTTTGGTGAGGAATTTGCTTTGATGGCACCACAAAGCTCCATTTTTGTAAAAAAGGAGTTAAAACAGCCTCTAAAAACCATCAGGACAATATTTTGGAACCTGTTGTCAAGCCTCTAAATGATACTCTGTTTGCTGGAAGTCATTGGGTTTTCCAGCAGGATTCCGCTCCAGCTCACAAGGCCAGGTCAACTCAGCAGTGGCTGCAAAAGAACATTCTAAAGTTCATCTCTGCCTCGGATTGGCTCTCACTAAGCCCTGATCTCAACCCACTAGATTATCGGCTTTGGTCCGAACTGAAGAGGATGGCATGCCAAAGAGCACACCCTGACTTAGAAAGCCTCAAACAATCTCTGGTCCGAGTGGCTGAGGCGCTTTCCTCAAGAAGTGCTACATGCTGCTATTGATGACTAGCCACTGAGATTAAATGCCTGTGTCAAGACAAAAGGGGGACATTTTGAGTAATTTATTTTTTGTTTTACTCTCTATAAAGATACATTTTATTTTCTAATAAGGTTTTTGAAAAAATTAATTTTTCTGTTAAAATCTGTTTATATTTCCTTGTAACAATATTTATGACAGGACTAGGTATTATAATAAAAAGAATTACTTAAATACACATTTTATTTATAAGAATAAAAAATTTAAAATAATGATTTTTCCTGTAAAGTGGTTCTGAAATTGAATTGTTCTCCCAGATCTCTTTCATAGGAATTGATCCATATTTATAAGTGACATACTAATATAACCTAATCTAATCTAACCCAAATATTTACATTTTCATGAAAATAATTAAAGCAATCAGTAGGTTTCCATATTTTAAATGTAAATTTTAGGACTAGAAACATTACATTTGACACTGATAAATACGGATCAATTCCTATGACAGAGATCTGGGAGGAAAAAAAAAAAAATTCTTTACCATTTTACATGAAAAATATTTGAAAATCATTATTTTTAAATTTTTTATTTTTATAAATGAAATGTGAAATTCACGAACTACTGCCAAAAATGGACAAAGAATGACAGATGGTGGGGGAGAGTTCCATAGTTCCATATGTGAAAGAGAAGGTAGCCAGCCGGCTAGGAGAAATGATCGAGTCCACAAATAGTGACATGTGACCAACAAGTAGTAGAGTCAACAAAGAAGAACAAGAGAAGAGTCTAGAAGTTGGATACAACAGTACAGAGGAGAAGTCACTGTAGAACAGGGTGAGTGAACCATAAGAATAGACAGTTCTAAAGCGCGCCAAGAATAGACCCCGACAAATAGAATGGAAATTCATAAATATGAAAAAAATGAAAATGAAAATGAAAAAATGTTTTATTATTCTGGGACTGTTGTCCCTTAAGAACAAAATATGAATACAGATTATATGTCTGTGTGGTTACAATTAAATTGTATATTTACAATGAAAGTTGACTTACGATAAAAATACAGAAAAGAGAAAGAAAAGAACAAGTAAATTGTACATATATATGAGAAACTAAAATAACCTTAATAAATTGAGGTAGTCTCTGGTGGTGCTCAGATATTTCTCTTAGATATATTTCACAATCATTCGGATTGAGAAAGAAGTAGGTGCTTAAAGAGGAGAGGTTTAAACGAGGAAACTGATTGAGTGTGTCGAATATCAGCTGGGATGGAATTCCAGAGGGAGGCGGCTTGTATTGCAAAGGATTTGTCAAACGCAGCAGTTCGGTGAGGAGGAGGATAGAGGTCGGAAGTACGAGATCTGGTGGGACGGGATTGGATGGAATATTTGAATTGTAAGCTGTGAAAAATATAGGAGGGTCGATGGGTTCTAATGATTTGGTACAGAAAGGTGGCTAGGAAGTACTGACGGCGATAGGATGGGTAGAGCCACCTCAACTCAGTGTAATACTGGGTAATATGCGTATCCCTTGAGATTCCGAAAACAAATCGTAGTGCGCAATTCATTAGGCGTTTAAGTTTGGCCTCGGAATCTCCCGGGAGTCCACCGTACACCATACAGCCATAGTCGAAGTGGGGGAAAACAAGGGAGGAAACTAGGAGTTGACGGGACTTATATGGAAGGAGATATCGTAGACGATTGAACTGTTTTAGGGTGGAGATAGTGCGACGGGAAATTTGGGAGATGTGAGGTTTCCAGGATAGGGATTGATCGAAAGTAACACCTAGGTTTTTAACGGTGGTGTAGAATAAGATAGGTGAGTTGTTCAGGAAGAGATTGGGAGATACCGGGGAGGATTTGAGGAGTGAAGGGGATCCGATCAAGATGGCTTTTGTCTTCTCGGCGTTCAGAGTGAGCCTATTGAGGTTTGCCCAAGCACTTATTCTGTCAATATCTTCCTGAAGTTTTTGAGTGGCATCTGAGATATCTGTCGGATTAAAGGAGAGGTAAATTTGAATGTCGTCGGCATACAGGTGATAATGACAGTGCAGGATAGAGGATGGGAGGTCATTTATATAGATGGAGAAAAGGGTGGGGGATAAGGAAGAGCCTTGTGGGACGCCTCTGGTCAGAGGTAGAGATTCTGATGGTGGGTTATTAGGAATTACAACGTACTGGGAGCGACCGGTTAGGAAGGATTGGAACCAATTAAGGGAACTAGAAGAAAAAGAGATATTTTTAAGTTTGGTTAGGAGGATGTTGTGGTCTACTGAATCAAAAGCTTTGGAGAAGTCTAGGAGAATAAGGATGGTTAGTTTCTGCTGATCTATGGCTGTGTGAAGGTCTTGGGAAATTTTGATTAGGGCAGACTGAGTAGAATAACCAGGCCTGAATCCAGACTGGTAGGGATTTAGGAGATTATTGTCCTCTAAAAAATGGGATAGCTGGGATTGGACTAACCGCTCTAATGGTTTTGAGAGGTTTGAAAGGAGGGAAATCGGTCGGAAATCATTAGGAACTGATGGGTTTGAAGTCTTCTTCAATGGGCGTACTAGGGCGGTTTTCCAGGATGTAGGGAAGGTAGCATTTTGAAGAGAATAATTGTATATATGATAAAGGATCGGAAGAATGGATGGCAATGCGGCTTTAATCAGTCTGACTGGGATGTTGTCGGGACCGTAATCATTGGTATGGGACTTCTGAATGGATTTAAGGAGCTCATCTGGTGTAATATGGGAAAGAAAGAAGTGATCAGGATTAAAGGAAGAGAACATAGGAGCCAGACTGGATGTGGGAGATGTGGATGCAAGAGGACAGGAGACAAAGTGAGCGTTGAGGTTATCAGCAGAAACGGAATTGGACTGAGACTGGGGTGCATTACCAATGGTCAGTTTTCTAAGAATAGCCCACGTAGCCTTGGTATTGGGAGAGTTGGATAGATGATTTTTCCTGCAGACCTCTTTTGCCGGGCCAGCCAGTACAGGTGTCTGTTGGTTACGGACATAGCTTCGCTCAGGTAGATCTTGTGGGCGTAATTTTCTTGCCATCCGAGGTGACGTGTTGAAAAATCCCTAATGACTTTTCGCCTCTGGATCAACTCATCCCTAAGCGACTGCCGGACAAACCTCACCACAAGCGGCCATGGCGTATCGTCTTGCCTGGATCTCATCCGTTCTGCATAGTCTATGTCCTCCACCTTTAGACTAAGGCCCAGGCCCGCCCCCACGCTCATCACCAGGCCCATCGGGGTCTCTCCAGATCTCACTGGGACTCCTCTTATTTCTATTGACCTGGAAAGGTGCAATTGCTCACTTTTATTGAGCCTGATTTCGAGCTCCGAGACCCGAGACTTGAGAGTCGTGTTTTCCAGGACCAGTCCGTCAATCTTGGAATTTTGAGCCTCCAGTAGTGACTCTATAGTGTCTAATTTCGCCGCATTCTCAAAAGTTATAGAGGCTTGCTTATTTAATAGATATTTTTAATTCTTTCACCTCGTTAGCATTGGCATCGAGGGAGAATTTTAATCCCTTGACCTCTTCTGTTAGATTTTTGATGGCAGCAAGTAACAGTTGTGACGTGCTGTCGACAGTTTGTTGTTGTGGCGCCGATCTTGGCGGGCTAAGGCACTTGTCTGACGGTTGGATATTTTTCCGAGCCTTTTCACATTTCGGACATACCCAATTTTTTTGTAATGCCTTCAGTGCTTCGAATTCACTCTCGTCTGCGTTTAGACATTTTCCATGAAAAATGGCTTGACATGTTGTGATAGTGCATGCTATTGTTTTTTTTCTTCTCTTGCTATGGTCTGTTTACAAATTGGGCATAGAACCATCTTGATAAGCAAGAAAAAAGAAAGAAAGAGAAAAAAAAATTACGTAAGTAAGGTGGTAAAAAAATTGACGTTATCCTAACCTCGTCACTGGAGACACTGAGATATCTAGTACCTAGTCCTATCTATGCGCATGCGCTCCCCACCTATATTCTTATCTAGAATGCCTGCAATAAATACCTTAAGCCAACTAAAACTGTGACTTTTTCTTTCTTCTTCTGACGTGAAACGCCGGTGTATTGAAGAATCTTTCCTGTCTGTGGATATAACACGATTAATAGTTGGTTCTAACCAAAAATTATGACAGAACTCCTAAAAACTGAAAATCACTAACTATAAACTGACTGAACTTTTATCATATGCTCTGAACTGAGGTCTAGACCACACTATGTTGTATAAAATTATGTATACCTTTGTATTATATAATTGAGAATGTGTGTAAGTTGTCTCAACCCAACCTGGGAATTAATTAATGCATAAAATAAATATAATCATATTCACAAACTGTTTTGTTTACTTTTCGAAGGGAACTTAACCTTAACTTAACATGGAGCCCAACGTGGGGCTTTGAGAAAACTTACCTAAACTAACCTAACCTAAACTAAAAGTCGATTCTGGGACAGGACCAGATAACATTTCTGGGACATTCCATTTCAAAGGAGGGGATCAGGCCCGATAAACAGAAGGTCGAGGCAATACAAAATATGGCAATGCCCAGGGATGTTAAAGGGATCCGCAGATTATTGGGAACACTCAACTATTACCGTCGGTTCGTGCCGGAAATGGCGGAGTATTTAGCAACTCTTAATAATCTTCTGAAGAAAGGCCAGAAGATAATAATAACGCCAGAGATAGAGGACAACGTAAGGAAGTGCATGGCGCGGTTACAAGATAAGCCGGTACTCGCTTTCCCCGATTTTGCGATCTTCGCAAGTCTATAAACATCTGTTTATCTTCACTACAGATGCGAGTGAGTATGCGTTGGGGGCAGTACTTGCTCAAGAGGGAACTAAGGGGGAACAGCCAGTAGCGTATGCGAGTCGGCGGCTTAAAGATGCGGAAACGCGATATAGCGCCCTGGAAAGGGAACTCTTGGCCATCGTATGGGCGGTAGGACACTTTAGGCCGTATATTTTTGGCAGAAAATTTAGGGTGCATACCGATCACAGACCGTTGCAATGGGTTGGTAATTTAAAGGAATCATCGGCAAGGGTCACTTGGTGGAAGCAATTTTTAAGCCAGTACAATATGGAGGTCATACATAAGCCAGGTAAAGACAATGTGGTAGCGGACTGGCTGTCCAGAGCCATAATGATAAATGCTATCTAGGAGGAAGAAGGAGAGTCGTCGCGGGACGTGCGGCAGTTTTTGAGAGCATGGACACCAGAAGGGGAAGGGGAACCAGGGAATGTGGAAACAGAGGAATCGAGAGGAGAAGAGAGCTCAGTGGAAGAAAGGCCTACAGACATCGAGGAATGCGAAGAGATCATCAATGATAAGCGACGACAGGTGATTTGGAAGACCAGAACGTCGGGACTTATGAAGACTTCAGTAAGTATGGAAAGAAGAAGGTGAACACCATTTGGTCCCAACCAGGGGTGAAAGAAGAACAAATTTGTAAGGCCTTGCACGACGCCTCGGAGCCGGGAAAGGTTCACCACCTGTATGTGGGGAATGCAACCATCTGGGAAAAAATCAAGAAACTCTGGCGATCAGAAAAAATAGGCATCGACAGATCGTTTATTAGGTGTAAATATTTAGTCGAAACGTTGACGGACAAGGAGCAGCAGAGGGAGGTAACACTAGCGCATCACCAGGGCAAGACAAATCATCGGGGGATACAGGAAACGTTTCAGGCATTGCGCAGGAGATATTTCTGGGACGGCATGAGAAAGACGATTTCAGAAATCATTGGGAGGTGTGATGTGTGTGCGCGCACGAAGTATGATAGACGTCCACCTCAAGGGTTACAGGAGGAAACCCCTACGGGAGATATGCCATTGAAGGATGTGCAAACTGATACATTCACGTGGAGGGGTTTTAAATGGATTACGATGATCGACCTCTTCAGTAAGGTAGCGATGACCCATCGAGTACAGGATAAGTTGTCGGAGTCTGTTGTGGGAGCTCTCCAAACGTGGGCCCAGTTCTACGGAGTACCGGATCGCATAACATCAGACGGGGGGAGGGAGTTCGACAACAGTACCGTACGCGAGGAGGCTAAACGATTGGATATAGTGTGGCACTTCAACACTCCAGGACATCAAAAGGGCAGAGGAAATATCGAAAGGTTGCACAGCACTCTAAGCGACCATCTACGTATTTACCAAGGAGAGCAGGGATTGGAAGTGGATGTAGCTATGAAAAGGGCGGTAGCGGCCTATAATCATTCAATCCACTCCATTACAGGGTTTTCTCCGGTCGAGGTATTGTTCGGAGTAAATATACGGCGACGGGATTGGATGGAAACACTCACGGACGAAGCACAAGCTCAACGGATCACCTGTAACAGAGCAGAGATAAAGAAAGTTTGGGAAAAAACGAGAGGGAGAATAGAGAGGGAAAAACGAAAAAGGGTGGAGAAGGTCAATTTGAACCTCAAAGACCGAATGGGGAATTGAAGATAGGGACGACAGTCTATCGAAGGGTCGGATCTAATAGGGGGAAGGAACTGGCATGCTACGAGGGACCATTCAAAGTGATTATACTTCGCGAACATAATCTCTGTACAATTCAGAGTCTGAACGATCCCAGGAAACGGAGGACCGTTCACATAGAACAGTTGAAACTCCCGATTGAGGCGGGGTTAGTAACGTAAATAAAGGGTATATCCTCTTTTCTGTCTCCTACAAGCTATAGAAGGTTTATTTCAGTTGTGGTTCTTTTATTGCAAGAAATGTTAATTGTATTTGTTGTACTATGGCTGTATGGAACGCCAAGGAAGATTATTTTGTTTTGTTATGTATTATTATTTTGTTTTGTTATGTATTATATCAGCAACCCTGCATTAGTTTATGAGGAGTGTTCATAAACTGGCGGGGGGGGGAGTTATGGTTAGATGTAAGTTGTTATATCAGTTAATCCTATTCAACAATTGTAAACAAACCGTAATGCTATATATATAGCATTACGGAGAGAATAAAGTCAGTCTTATTTGAGCAACCACGTGTTTCATTCCGAACCTTTCTTTCTTTTTTTTATTGTTCTTAGTTCGAACTGCCGTAAGTTATATATATATATATATATATATATATATATATATATATATATATATATATATATATATAGAGAGAGAGAGAGAGAGAGAGAGATTATTTAATATTAACTGAATTATATAATTATCATTCTTACCTGCATGTTGTAATGGTAGAACAATGATAAAGGGGGGCTTTGAGAAAACTAACCTTACAACATATATATATTTATATATATATATATATATATATATATATATATATATATATATATATATATATATATATATATAGAGAGAGAGAGAGAGAGAGAGATTATTTAATATTAACTGAATTATATAATTATCATTCTTACCTGCATGTTGTAATTGTAGAACAACGATAAAGGGGAATGGAGTGAATTACTTCATTGGTTATAATCAATAGTTTAGGTACATCAGTTTCGTGTCGAACCACAGTCAATGATTTTATTGCAGAATTTGAATTACTTATTTGAATTTCTTCTGTAAAAAGTGCAGCACCAGGCTTACCCATGCCACGATTCACTGCTTTGATGATGCGTCCATCATCTATAACAAATTTAAATTTATTCCATAAACAAAACTATTTTATGTTTATTTCATTAATAATATATCAAAATATCATATTATTTATATCAAGATGAATTCATGATAAAACGCTGATACATTAAAAAAATACATCCAATTTAGGACTGAAAGTATTCAAAGTAAATTAAAAAACATTGTTGTTATATTACCTGTACCAATAAACAATACATCCATTGCTTGGCCATTGAGTGTTTTCACCTGAGGATCCACAGCAATAGCAGTAAAGCGGTTCCTGAAACCATAATACGTAAAATATATTGTAAGTATATCTATACCAAAACTTAATCTAATTGTTGATTATAAAAGAAGTTATCCCAAATTAAGACAGACTAATGATTATTATGACTAGCTTAGTAAGATTTGTTAATAGAACCCTGAGAGACATTTCCATGTTTCCCACAACTACGATGAGCTGGAATGGCTGTTTAATAGAAAATATTTCCTGGGAACAGACCTTTACTAAATGATCAGCAATCGCTGCACTTTCTATATCTACAATATCATTGAATTCAAACCTCCTAACTAATCCTTGACTACAAGATCTCAATCTTCTTAATTTTCTTTTCTTTTTTTTACAGATTTGCCTCATTCCAACATTCGTTTATTTTCAGTTCCACCACTTTCTGGAATTCCCTCAATTTTAAAATCTGTTATGAGACCTTATCCAAATTTATAACGCTCCTGTTCCAATTCTTCTTCACAAATCATTTAGATACTGATTCATCATACATAATATATCAAAACTCGCTTTTCATTGTAAATCTGAATAAATATTTCATATATTACAAGAGTTTCTTTCTTTGTTAAAATTTTATTTTTTACCATAAAATTGGATGAAGTATATTTGTCCATGTTATGCCCCCGGACATCCTCAATGCACTATAATGTTGAATAGACCCAGCTCAATGAAGTATAGAAGATACTAATCAAATACACTGTCGCTGTACATCTGCCAATTACTATAGTGACAACATGAGTTGTAATCTTTGGACTTTCAATGGCATTCGCCAATGTAACAAGCATACAAATGGACTTCATCAAGATGAAGCAAGATGAACAATCAATAGACTACAAAGTGCCACATTAAAAGTAATTTTTTGAAATGTTGGAGGTTTAACTAATGCTAAGTTTACCGAGCTCCAACAGCATATCAAGGAAAATGATATAGACATTATACACAATCATAGAGGCAGGAGCTGCAACTGATAATAAAATTCAATTCCAAAATTATGGCTACCAGAAATACATTCTTTCCAGAAGTCCTCAGTACATCTAGAATCATAGTAGCTGTAAGGTCAAACCTAACTGTAGAGTTCTCAAAAAAAAAAAAAATAAAAATAAAATAAAATAATGACATTGAAAAACTTGAAGCAGTCGACAAAAGATATGGAAAGGGAGAACATACTGAGTCTCTTCTTTGCATATAACCTGCCATGTAACAATCCTTCACACTCCTGGCTTGAAGATAACTGGGACCATCACTGCATGCTATTTGATGACCTAAATACTACATCTACTAGATGAGACTACTATCGCTCAGATCCAGTAGAAAGAACTTGGAAAGAATTCATTGACAAGAATCTGGTGGAGAACATACCAACTTCAACTACAAAACCAACTTTCTTTGCATATACAGGGACAACAACCAGACCAGATGCAGTATTAGCTCACTCATCAATTGCTTCAAATTTAACTCTCTCACTTTGCTTATCATCTGAAGCCTTTGATCACAGTATCCTAGTGGCTAATGAAACTATTGGTCCACACAAGTTCAAAGAGAAAAGGATGGCCCGATGGAACAAAAGAAAGCTGACTGGAAAAAGTTTACTTCTGTATCTGATTAATACCTAACAACCGGTCTAGTGACTAATACACTAGAGCAATCACTGAAGAAAATCATGAATGCCATAATAAAAGCTGCTCATCAGAGTGTTCCATGAGGTCATATTAAAAACTATCAGCCATTTTGGAGTGAGCACCTAGAAGCCATGAAAATAAATTGAGATAGCTGCGAAAAAATTCCGTGCATCTTGAAATTCTACCAATTAAGTTATTCTAAAAGAGAAAGTCAGCCTTCTGAAAAGAGAAATAATTATTTCCAAAAATTCAACCTTTAGAAGTTTCCTCCAGCAATTGGATTTTCGCCAAGATGGCATTAAAACACACCGATTTATTTCCAGATTGAACAATGATCCTCCTCATCAGAAAAATCCAATCAAGAAGGGAGAAATTATCCTAACTTTTGACTGAGACATTGTACATTTTGTCTGTAAACACTACGCAGCCATGAGCAATTTTTGCCCTAAGACAAAAGCAAAAATATTGAAAACAACAGATATTCCAACATGTTCATGTGATGGGGAGCATGAGATATTAAATAATGACTTTATCCAGAGTGAGATAGAGAAGGTGTTCCAAAGTACGAAGAAGGAATATAGTATTGGCCCAGATAATATCCTATCTGAATTTTTAATCAACTTGGGCCCTGCTGCTAAGAACACAATAACAATATTTTCTAACAGGGTATGGCTATGTCACTTCCCTGATGGCTACAGAAACGCTGAAATCATGCCTATTCTCGAGAAAGACAAACCTGTGGATAGTGCATCAAGTTATCGGCCAATTGCACTTACAAATGTCTTTTCCAAGATGTATGAAAGCCTCGTACTTGGTCGTCTGCAACATTATTTAAATCAAAATGGTCTCCTCTCCTCCAAACAGGCAGGTTTTAGGAAGAATAGAATCACCATGGAGCAAGTTTTGCGTTTAATCCAAAAAATTAAGGTTGAGTACCATCGTAAGTAGAGTACTCACTTTGTATTCGTTGACTTCAAGACTGCTTTTGACAGAGTATATCAGGGGCTGATGGTATAGAAACTTCTTACCATGGTGATCAGAGGTCGACTGTTTGCCCACTCAAGTCGTTTCTTGTATAGAGATTTATAAGAGTGTGTTACCAGAACGTTACCAGAAACCTCATCTTTCAGGCAAACTGAAATGGTATTGCGCAGGGTTCAGTTTTAAGCAGGACCCTCTTCAACATAACGATCGATGATGTGATCTCTGCAGTTTATATGGTCCCAGGAGTCAATGCATTACTATTCGCGGATGACTTGGCTATAGGGGAAACATGAAACAGTAATCCTCCTCTTGATTCTATGTTGCACTAGGACATCTCGCAGACTGGACAATGCAAAATGAAATGGCGATTAACACAATGAAGACGGAGTACCAGCTTTTTACTCTTTTTACTAAGAGGCACTATGTCTCACTATCAATTAACGATAATATATTAAAGCAGAAAAACTGTGCCACATACCTAGGTATCAAGCTTGATTCACGTCTAACATGGAATGGAAATGTAGAAAGTAGGACATCAAAGGGAGCCAAAAGATTGGGCCTACTGAAAAGACTAGCGGGAACCAAATGGGGTACTTTCCATCACCTATAAAATTTATGTGAGACCGACAATGGAGTACAGAATAGAGCTGTTGGTGACTGCTTCTGAATCAATCCTTAAAAAACTTGATGTAATACAAAATCATGTACTCAGAACTATAACAGGTGGCACTGAGTCGGTGCCTATTGTAGCAATGGAGAATGGAAATACAGACTGGAATTGAACCACAGTATTACAAACAATAATTGATTACTTTAACCTTGAGTGAATGTCTTCGACAGTACAAGATTGAGTATTGGCAAATGAATACACCTGCTACTAGCCCACTGGTCACTCAAAGCTCATTTCTTACTAAAGTGGAATCATTCAGAAATGGTTATGGCCAACGCTGTCCCTCCAGAACGCCAAACAGTTTCCATCAACTCAAGAGATGGTTCCATGATGTACTAATGATTATTATACAACATTGATATCACTTGTCTCCAAACAAAACACATCTCCCACTAAACTCAAAGCTATCACATTGGAGACTATATATTAGATTTATGGAAGAAGAATGGTTGGTACAACGATGGGTCAGCCACTGAAGCGAGATGAAACGGAGGGCGGGTGTTTATTCAGAGCTATAATCTCTTGCTGTTGGTTGTCTGGCCAATACTTTTGATGGAGAAATCTGTGCTGCGGTAATGGCTCTCAAAATGATAATGTCAATAAATTGCACTAGAGCAGTCATTCTCTGTGACTCAACAACCTGCCATTATCAGTTTAAGCACCAATGGCCAAATTAATTCCCACAACGTTTTGGAAGAAAAATGACTCTTAGAAGAGCTTTTCATCAAGGAGTCAATCGTGGTGCTGCAATGGATCCCATCACATGTTGGAATCACAAGGAATGAAAAATCTGATGCCCTAGCCAAACAAGGTTCCCAGATGGTTATTTATGCCCCCCTCACCAAATAAATTTCCTGCTACTAAAAAATCAAAATTGGTAAAACTTTATTGGGCTGCAAGAGGTCTTTTGGCGGAAGTCATGACTATACGGCATAAGAAAAAAAATTGAGGTTTAACTAATCCAGAATACACTACACTTAAATTACACTTATCTTAATACACAATTATGTGTATTACTTTAAATATTTTTTAAATAATAAATGTAAAGAATTTTTTTTCTATTTTATTTATCAGTATCAAATACTGTATTCATTAACATCTTTCTTTTGTAGTTTAAAACTAGTGCAGATTCTTCACCAGAGTTATTTTTGGATGCTTTCTGTATTAGCATCGATCTAATACTGTCAGATGTTGTTTTCATACTCGTGCTTTCTTGCTCCATTATCATAGGCCGAAGTCTTCAGTGAGACCACTGAGCATCAGAACTCCAACGAACTCACCTTCTAAACCTGCATCAATTGCTGTAAGTTTTTGGGAAATTGAAAGGATTTCATTTATGTAGTCTTCCATACAACTGAAACTCACCAACTGGATCCGAAATAATTTTCTAAGTAGCGATAATCTTCTAGTAAGTCCTTTATCTTCATAGGTACTTTTTAATTTTTCTCAAACTTCCTTGGCTGAATTACAAGATTATACAATAGAGTATAACGCACAATTCACAATTCAAACTAACATTGTTTCTCATTATACTGGGTCCATAACTATTATTAGGGTTATAAATATAATGAGAAACCAAAGTAATGTCTGAAAAAACTTTATTTAGGAAACAATTTTCAATTTATTACAATATTCAATAATCATCAAACATATTGTTTACACCACACTGAAAGCAACAACTCTGAACAAGCCTAACACTGCTAACAAGGTAACTAAAAAAGGCGACGACCACATGGTAAAATATGAAATAAATAAACTGAATTTATTTCCAACAATATACTATATCAAGAATATTAACATATTAAAAAATTGTTATATATATATATATATATATATATATATATATATATATATATATATATAATAAATAGAAAAATATCAATTCACCTTAAGCTAACTCTAATGAGTAATGGCTGAGAAAATGATGGAACTGCTTCATCCATTAAAGGATGTGCCTTAACAAAATTTACTGAAATGTCTGGCAATGTACGACTGTCATTTACACATACACCTGGCCTTGGTTGTGGCACCTACAAAGAAAAAAAAATTAAGAATTTTAAATTAATTAAGTAATAAATCCAATGTTAAGAATAGCTGAAATACAAACCTTTGTTGGAGGAACTGGTAGCCAGTTGGAATTCATGTTTGACTGTTCCTTGAACGGGCCATCAAATGTTCTCATTATATCATCAAGTGAAAATGCACAAATTGCAGAACCCCCAATGGAATTAGCAGGAGTTGTAAATGCTCCATAAATGACTTTTGTTGGATTTGAGTCATAAATCCCTTCAACAATATCACTAGTGGATTCTGAAATTAGATTAAAAAAATATTTTTTTTTAAATATTAATTTTTAAGCCCAAAATATTGAAGTCAGTTTATGAATCTTACACATACAATAATCTTACACATATGAGATACAAATAATATGAGATACATATGAGATATGAGATAACTTAACAAAATTAGGATGAAATCATCAGATTTCTATATTTATAGAGAAAATATTCCACTCTTATTCAGTTAAAATGAAAGACAAATTTTCGTTGAACATTGTTGAATTATACCAAGTATTTTTTCAATAACTTATTTATTAATGACATTTAATAAAGATGCAATTATGCCATGCATACATATAACAAAATCTGATAAAAATGTAAATAAATTGACTATTTTTGGAAGCTGATATAGTAGATTGACAAGATATGTTATCAGTGGATTAGTAATGCAAAGATACAGAATCAACCCCTATATCCTAATATGGCTAATCTAGGCTAGAAGTGAGACCAAACCCTTCAAATACAACTTTCAGGTCAAAATATCAAAAAAAGTGCTAAATAAAAAATTTAATATAAATATAGATATATCATTTTAGTAATTAATCAAGTGCTTAACTAAAATTACAACAAATTGAATTTAACATACGTATTTCATTGAAGTAGAAAGGATAGTCTCCTGGCATGGAGCAGTTTAGCCTTGCTTTGAGAAATGATGTCCAACGATCACCAAATTGATGTGGACCCCCTTTGTCTTGTTTACAAACCCTTGCCACTCTTGAATATATTACCTGAAAAAAAACATACACGAAAAAACTGGTATGAAAAGCAGAGAAATAGGAAGAAAATTCATAAACTGTAAATATCATAAAAATATAATATAATAATAATAAATTTTTATTTGTTTCGGGCAGACCTATACAAATGGAGTTGAGTTTGAATACATTAAATCAAATTAAATACATTAATATCAAATATAAATTAGTAACAAAATAATCAATACACAGAACATAATTGTTAAGTTATAATTTGGAAAAATTCCAAACCACACAGCCTTGTGTTCCAAAACACAGACAAAGAAAACAAACCAGTCAACAGTTTGCCAATTTAGGCATCATCAGGACAGAAAGGAATAGCTATTCTTACAGAAAGGAACAGGACCTATCACTCCATGACATCCAAATGCATGCTGACTAATTTAATATAACCAGTATTCATTTGGATGTCATGGAATGATGTGCAATTAGCTGTTCCTTTCTGTCAGATGATGTCTGAACTGACGAAACATTGAAAGACTTGTTTTTCTTAGCCTACATTTTGGAGACATATGGCTGTGTGGTTTAGAATTTTTCTAAATTATAACCTAAAATTAGTAGCAAAAATCAGTAAAAGTAAAAAAAATACAAACAATACAACTTTCTTGAACAAAATAAATTATAATGATAAGTCCTAATATTATTATTTACATATAACCTTGACCTTAAACTTAATGATTAAAGTATTTATTCTTGAACAAACAGAACAAGATTTCTTAATTTCAAACAATTTTCTACATACTAGTAGTTTATTACAAATGGAGCATTCATCACTTCTATCTAGAAAACTATAAGAAGTAACCTTTAAGTTCTCAGGTTACTTATTGGTCTCTTAACATTTTCTTATTGGTCTCTTAAGTTTTAGATATTATTCACTTCTATGGAAGCTACCAATTTTTCTGAAGTTTTAATTGAGTTTTGAATCAATATAGATTGAGTATCGAAGGAAAATTTATTACATTTTAATTTTTCAAGAGCATTTTTACATTCTCCTTCAAATAATTCTTTATTTTTCAAGTTTGATAATTCAACCGAGTCTAAGGCTCTCAGCATATTTATCAAATGTAGATACAAATTATATTTTGCTATATTATATATTATACTGATTCTAGACTAGTTCCTACACTCACATAATGATTATGGGTATTGCTTGGCCAATGGTAAATTGCTTTAAAATATCTCAAAGCAACAATCTCTAATTTTTGACAGTATAATGGAGACCAAATCTCTGCTGAATATAAAAGAAGGGAATTCACCATAGAATTTAACAATTTAAATTTTGTATAGAGAGAATCTGATGTTGATCTAAACAAGATTTTTCAAACTCTGTATGAAACCAATTGTGATTTTTTGATAAAATTATAGATAGAGTCCTTTCCAGCATAAAATGCTTTATAAAAAGGGACAAATTGTTCAATACAAATCTCAACTTCAATCACATTTGGCCTATTAAATTTTTTTATAGTTTGCCAAGACATTTTAACGTCTTTGACCTGTGATAATGAGTCTAAAAGGCTATCGAAATATTTTTTTTTATCTTCAGTTACACATTGTTCGTATTGTTTTTTTATTATCAATAAAAACATTAACATTTTCCTATGAATAACCTTTACGCTTTAATGTTTTAAAACATTTCCTAAGATATTTTTTAGCTTACTTGCACTCATCACCATACCAGATATCTTTACAAGTTTTATGGGGATAAACAAAACATTTTCACTTGAGAAGTCCAGATTTGAGTGCACAGTTCAAACTGTCAGTCAATCATATTTCTATACAAAGCATTCACTGAATTCGAGTTAAAATAAATGTTATTTACATTTGAAACCAATACCTGATTGGAATTAAAATATAAATTCCACTATGTAACAAAATATAGTTCATCTAAATCTAAATAGTACTTTTCTTTTTCTTTACTTCAATTTTCAGTTTCTTTATTTAACTTACTTAAATAGACAACCACGGGCAAATGACAGCTTAGCACTCAAACATTCCAAACTTTTAAATCTTGAATGAAATTGATCATAGTCAGTGATATACAAACAGTATCTATGACACTACACCCTCAAGCTGTAATATCCGTAAATTGAACAAGTGTATCGCTAGGGGATCCAACCTTTCAATAATATTAAACCCTATTCTTCAAAATAATTGAACAATTTTTTACCTTTAGAGAGACGAACATTATCTAAACTAGTTCTGTAACCGGACAAATATGAACCTTCCACAAGTAAAGCATCAATTACATCCCTGAACCTAATCTGGCATTCCAGTCCCCACCCAGTACTATATTACACTGATTAATTTCATCCTTTGATTTAATTATATTAAATAATTCTTCCAAATCTAGAATAAAATCATTTAATCAAAGGGCTCAAATAAATATTTCCAATGAAAAAAGAAAAAATTTACTTTAACTGATAAAAAAACATGTATCAGAAAAATCAAATAAAGTCAGTTCCTTGCAAAAATGTTTATTTACCAAAGTTATGAGACCTCTACAGGGGCAATATTTCCTAAATTTTGGAGAAGCTACAGAAATAAATTTGGTATAATCCTTTAGCCACATTAGTTTATTAAATGTTGGGTTAATTATGAAAGTTTTGGTAAGACAAATAACAGCATCACTAAGTAAAAAATTGATAACTTCAGAATCTATTTTAAATAACTTAAGATAAACAATAATTTAAGTTTACGTTTTTTTAAATCTTTGTAAAAAACTGTCTTATGACTTCTGTGAAGAAATAGCTTTAGCCACCTTATTCCTATCTCCCTCTTCTTCCATAAACCACAATCTTTTCTACTCAGCTTGTTTTAATCTATTTCTGTTTCATTTTCATGCTAGAATAATCCCTCTCCGAAGTAAGGTTGGCATATTCAGCATCTAGTTTTTGGATATCTTCCTCTATGTGAATAACAATTGTAGGAGTTCTATCATCTTGACTGACTAGAACTCAATTATTCCTTTTCCATACAAATTTTAGCTTATGTTTCTCTTGGTTAGATTTGAGCAGTTTAAAAAGCCAAGCACTGTAGGCAGATAACAATTCTGACACACCCTGGTAATGCTGATGTTATTTTAAACAACTCCGTGTAAATCAAATTCTTCTTTAATCTATGTAACTTCCGGAATTTAGTTTTGTCAATATTTCTGAGGAATTTAATCATAATCATCCCTTTACCTGAGTTTGTTTTTATTCTGTGAAAAGAGTTAATTGATTTTTCATCCAGCTGGAAGCCAATAGTATTGCTTATACTTTTGACTATAGATAAAATGTCTTCTCCCCTAATCCGAGGAATATTTATTTATTTTATTCTGTTACTTTGGTAATATTAATCAGTTGTAGCAAAATGCTGTCTTAAACATGTAACTTATTTTGTAAATTTCAAATTTTCTTTTTTCATATTTAAAACTTCTGAATTATATTTTTTAGTTTTTTTTAGAAAAATCATCTTTATTCTGGGACTAGGTCCCTTTAGAATAACAGTATTGTTCATATAAATTAACAATAAATCTGGCCAAAAGACCTATTACAATGAATAATAACAAAATACTAGTAATAAATTAAGTACAATAGCTCTTAGGATATATTAACGACAACAGTTGGGTAATAGGGGTTCAATACTACAATATTGGAGCTAAAACAATAGCATAATAATCACTAACTGAAATTAGAAAGGAACACAAAATCAATTTTATATGCAAAGCATTGTAGTGACGGAATATAAAAATTAAAAAAAAAAAAAACTGTTGATTTATAAAGAAATAAATTATAAAAAAAAAAAAATGATATACATATGTTCCCTAAGATGTATAAGATGATTACACATAAAGATTAGGAGAAGAAAAAAATAAAATAAAGTGTATATATATATATATATATATATATATATATATATATATATATATATATATATATATATATATATATATATATATATATATATATATATATATATATATACATAGCGAGGAGTGTGTCAAAGATAATTAGAAAATAAAACACATTTCAAAGAAATACAATCTCATGAATAGAAAAATTAGAAATTAAGAAAAAAAAATTTTATCTACTCACAATGCTTTGTGAGTGGTGATGAAAATTCACGTTCAGCACGGAATAAAACAATAAAACAATACATTTTATCTACTCACAATGCTTTGTGAGTGGTGATGAAAATTCACGTTCAACACGGAATAAAACAATAAAAAATAAGAGGAAAAAAAATAATATCTAAAGAAAATTAAAGCCTTATTACATAATATGTATTTAACCAGTGTCTGATTGGATTGTGAAGAGGAATTTGAATAAGAGGGTTTTAAAGGTGGATAAGGATGATATATGGTGGATTTTTAGTGGGATGGAATTCCAGAATGCAGTGGAACCGACAACAAAGGAATGTTTAAATGATGTAGATCTATGGAAAGGGGTGTAAAGGTCAGAAGGACTAGATCTTGTGGAGGGGGTGTGGATAGATGATTTGAATTGAAGGAGATTGTATGCGTAGGACGGACAATGATTATTGATTATTTGGTAAAGGAATGTGCCTAGGAAATATTGTCTTCGAAAGGAAGGGAAGAGCCATCCTAATTCAGCATAGTGGTGCGAAACATGGGAACGCCTCAGGGTCCCTTTATTTATTAAAATTATCAGTAATTCTTTTATCCATAGAAGTTAAATCCTTACGTAACAGTGGTATTTTGTTTGTTAGGGATTCGAGTAAGTTTAAAGGATTACCTTCACTATCATTTCTCCCCACTCCTTTATTTACTGTATCAATAACCCCCACTTCCTTGCTATTCTGTATCATTCATAATGATATATATTAATTACTTCCTTGAACAAGTGTAATTGAAATAATTCTGTAACAGTGATAACCGTTATCAACAGATCTAACTGTCAATATTAAATAAACTGAAGAAAATTACTTTAAAATTAACACAAACAGCACTAAACATGGAGCCGAATAAAAGTGTTACCTGTTCCATCCACAGCTCAAACTCAACTCCTAAATATGACAAAGTAATTTCAAGGTGCACGAACATTGATTTTAATATCACAGAAAAAATAATTAATCTATATAAATATTTATGTTAGTTATAAATATCACAGTGTAGTCTTATAATCATCTAAAATCACTAATTTAATTTCACAGGACCCATTCTTTACTTGAAGTATGATTGCTTAGAGCTACACAAAAAAGTGATCAATATTTATTATCTTGCATTATTATTATATTAAATCAAAATAAAATAAAAGAAATAACTCATTAAAAAATAAATAGATCTATAAAATTTCTATACCAGATTTGCTAAATGGAATAGAATAGAGGAAAATAATAGATGGTCTGATGCCCCAATAGCATAATTAATTGTTTAAAAAATATATATACTTTATTTCACAACTAACAAATTGTTTCCAGTACAATGTAATATTCATTGTTTCTAGTTATAGGTGCTGGAAGAGTGGGTATATTTATTGAGATTTCTTACTAACCTTTCCACAGTTAATGAATTCAACAGCTGGTTCCCGGAAGAAAAATAAAACATAGCTGCCATAATCCATTGAACTCACAAAATTAGGATCTGTAAAGAAATAAAAAAAAATAATTAAAAGAAATTCATTTATACATTCATTAACTGGATAAAGAAACAATAGAGAAACCTAAAAACAAAATAGATGGCTGTAAAAACATTAGACATAAAAAATAATGGAGAATGTTTAATTAATAACTCAACATTTATTATTCTTTCTTTAGTAACATGATTTCATATAATTAGAATTGACTTTTGCTTAGGTTTTTTTATTTGTAATAAGTTTTGACATCTCTTGCAAGTCTTATCAGATGAAATAAGAGAGGAGTAATACAATATTTGAAGAAAAAAAATGGGTAAGACAGCTAAATGCTAATTAGACCAAACTATTACTATTAACATGGTAATATTCAGTTCATTTGAACATTATTTGACCAAAAAATATATATGTTTACCATTCAGTTGTTTAAGGTCAGATCTTTCAGTTCTTAGAGGTTCTCTGTAAATTAGAGGATCAACACCTCCAAAATCAGCAACGGTAGCAACATAAAAATGACCATCTGAAAAATAAAGAAAAAAAAAGTTACAATATTTCACAATACACTATCTCAATTTTTTCATATTGAAGAAATGACGAGTCTATGCTAAAAGAAAATAGTATGATGTTAAGAAATTCATAAAAAATATATTCATATCTGATATATTTTCTTTAGTTTTATCAATTATAGTTAAAAATGTATTCTATATACTTTGAAATAAATAAAATAATAAGTTTGATTCTTCAAACTTTAATCAATGAAGTTTGTCTTAATTTTTTGCTTATCTGACTTTTTTAATGTTATTATTAATGTTTTCCTAATTGATTATCAACTACTGAGATCAGAGATTATCACTTAACTAGATATAAGTAATTGTTTTATTGCTTGTTGGTCAAGTTTAGCTAACTTTTAATTCTTATGAAAACAAAAATATATTTTTTATTTTTGAAGGGTGGAGTTGGAACTGGGGAACAATTTTAAAATGTTATTAATAATAATGTAAAAATGTTATTGATCATTAATTTATAGGATATAAAATGTAACATATTTTGTAGAAATATCACACAGACCTCGACAGATGGAATTTTCCATTGTCTATGTGTTGTGACATTTATATGAATATTATATTTTGTATCTATTTGTTTTATGATAATAAAGACATTTTCATACATTCATTCATATGACAATGCATATCTGCCAATGTTGGCCATGAGTGTTACCATACTTTAAATAGTTTCACTGCTAGTCCTTATCATAATGGAAATGTTAATACTAATTTTTGGGAACAGCACAAATTAAATATTAAATGACTCAGGAGAAAATTAACCACACACTCCTCTAAATCAGGTAATCAGGACCTTTGCCCCAACATGCTTAGCCATCACAGCCTGGATCAGAAAGAACCAACGTTAATTTAAATTAGGCTTTGTTGTGGACTAATTAAAAACATTTATCTTAGCTTTATTTATAAATAATAATATTTATTATTATTTTCACCATAATTAATAGTATTATTATTTTAAAAAATCTAACAGGATTTTTTTGATAGGTGTTTAGAAAAATAATTGAGAATAGGATCAGGCATAAACAGTCTTCAGAACCTTTGGAGTACATAACCATTCCTGATTATTTACTCAGGAGACTGTCTCAATACTCAATCCATCCTGTCTTATATTGGTTTCAGCATTCATTTGATTAAACCGAAAGAGAATAGATAGAATATAAAGAATCTGGTGGGGTGCACCCATCACACAACTTTCATTTAACGTCCTGCTTTACTAGAAACAGCCTACTTGCCATGCATATAATCTGTTAAATTTTATAATTTGTTAAAAGGTTTTTATCACTTTCTATTTTCTTCTGACTATATATAATATTTTATAAAATTAATGATTTGGATAAAAGTGGATCGAATAAATTAGAAATGGGTTTTAGTAGTGTTCAGAATATTGCACAAAAATTTAGAAAGTTTTAAATAAACCCCATTTAGAATGACCACCAAAATTAAATGGGATGGCACAAAGGTATATCCATCAAATTGTTGAGCAATATCGCACTTTATCAGCCGCCCAGATAGCAGAAGAGGTTGCATCTACTTCAAATATCACCTTCTGTTAGAAATATAATTAA